TTTTTTTTTTTTTTTTTTTATAAATGTAACTTTTTTTTTTAAACAAAACATATAAAAAAATATATATAGGTTTTATTAAAACATATAGCTATTTTAATATTAATAAATATAAGGACATACCTTTTATTCATTTTTTTTTTTTTTTTTTTTTGTTTTTCATTATACGTTAAAAAATAAAATTAGATCTTACATTTTTTTTGAAAGTTAGATTTTTGAAATTATTTTGTAAATCAAGAAGGAATGATTATAGAATAAGAAAATATATATTGGTTAAATAGAATATTACGTTGTCTCTCTAGTTCTGGAATTTTTTACAACTGGAGTATTTATGTGTATTATTAAAATTACTTTTTACAATAAATATTTTATTTTTCAATTTTTTTTCATAATTACAAATAAGTTAAAATCTTAATTTCAAAATATACAATTTATTTTTTACTTTAATAAACATTAAGATGGAATATTTATCCTTTGTATTTCTTCGAGATTTTTAGAAATAATAAATTTATTATAATTGTAATTTTTTTTACTTATTTCATTAGTGTGAGATAAAAAAATAATATTTTTTACAAACATAAGAAAGATATTAGATATTATAAATTAAAAGAAAAATTAAAATTAAAAGTTCAAGAGTTTTAAAAAAAAACAAGAGAATATTTTTTTATAATAGAAAATATAGACAAGTCAACATAAAAAAAAAAAAAAAGAAAAGCAAATAATTTTATTATATTAATTACGTTGTAAGAATTTTCTTAAATATTATACTACAATTAATTTATGATAGATATTCAAGGAGGAATTAATAAAAAATAGAAGATTAAAAAAAAAGAAAAAATAATAATTTCAATATAAAGAAAATATTAATAGGAAACATTTAGGAAAGAAAAAATAACATAATATAAAAAAATAACAAACAATTAAGCTAAAAGAAGGAAAAAAAAAAAAAAAAAAGTAAATATAAATTAAACATTATATTAAAAATGTTATAATTCTTTTTAATGATTTATTTTTTATGAACTAATTAAAAAAGATTAAATATTTATAATAAAATAAAAATAAAATTTGAAAATAGAGTTGTGTAAATTATAATTTTAAAAGGTAAAATATATAATGACTTTTTTAAAACAGTTTAGAAGTTCATAATTTTTTTTATATGGTTGTATCTATTAATCTGTATAAATATGAAAAAAAAATTTTGATTACAAATATTATAAAGATCAAAAATACGAAAGTTCATATTATGTTAGTCTATAAATATATAGAAATTTTTTTTTTTTTATTATATAAATAAATTTTTTAATTTTTATTTTAATTATTACATTTACATTTTATTTATTATAATAATATTTTAATTTCAATTTTATTTATTAGTTTAATAAGTAAAATTCTTTATTTTTCATAATTAACTTTTATAAGACATATATACTATTTTATAATAATTTATTTCTGTATTTCCTAATTTATATAGAATTGTTACATACTTAATTTTACATTTTTATTTATAAATTTTTATACTTATTTGGAATATATACTTACAAGATACTTATACTTATTCAATTAATACATTTCCTTTCTAATATATTTTAGAATTCTATTTTTTAGAATGTAGAGATATCTTATTAATTTTTTTTTTTTTTTTTTGGGGGGGGATTATATAATTTACTCAATAAAAGAAATTTATATTATTTTTTTTTATTTTATAATTAGAAAATAATTAAAAAAAAAAATAACGTAATAAAAATTTTAAGAGCTTTGAATATATTCTTTTTTTTGATATTTTATTTTGAAGAATTTTTTGCTTAATAATTCTTTAGGAAAATTAAATAATTCCTAAAAGAATATACAAGTACATTTATGAAAGACAAAAATATTAAAAAATTAATGATTGACTTAAGTATTTGCTAAACGTTATACGATGGTAAATTGCAACGTCATGGTAGTTATAGAAATATCATTGAATACAGTTTAGCTTTTAATATAGCAAAATAAATTCATAGAATCAAAATAATTAAAAAATACAAAAAAAAAAAAAAAAAAATCTTATTGTATCTACTTAATGTCATGCAAATGGTGCTGCTTCTCATGAAAAGAAGAAGAAGAAAAAAAAAACGATTCAGTAAAAAGGAAATAATAATAATAATTTAAAATAAAAAAAACACATGAAATTAAAAAAAATAAAGACGTAAACATTAAATATTAAGATAAAGAAATGAAATGATCAATAATAATATGAACGTACAACGACAGTCAAAAATCCTCTTGCAAAAAATAAAATAGATAACGACGATTTGTTTGATACGAATTATATTTTTATATTTATAATATAAATAGTTTAACAAATGAACAAATAAAAATATCAAGAACATGTTAGTAATTATTTTGTAGAAAATTTTTCTTTTTCTAACACATTTTTGTATATCTTTCTATTCTATAAAAAATTCCAGATGTTAAATAAAATTCATAAAATTATCATAGTATTCTTAAGAAACATGCAAAAATATGTAATGAATAAACCAATTAAAAGTCATAAGTATGTGGAGTAAATTACAAAAGACTATTCAGAAATAATAATTAAAGATGTTATTCTTGTAAAATGTGTTAATGTAATAAAACTGGATGTGTGGAGTGTGTGTGTTCATGAATGTTTTAAGTTATTAAAAGACAACTATTAATAATTGAGATATTATTTTAATTGAACTTTTTTCCACATACATACTTACGTGTTTATTAATATACTTTTTTTTTTTTTTTAACATCAATTTTAAAAGATAATTTTCTTTTATTTTAAATATAAAATATATAATTAAGGAAAACATTTGAGTTGTTACACATATTAAAAGTCAAGATATTTTAAAAGTTTCACAAACAAATATATTTGTTAAAAATAAAACAATAAAGAAAAAAATTTTTTTTTTTTTTTTTTTTACTTTTAAATAGGTGCATTTTACCAAATTATTTATAACGTTAATGCAGTTTTTTAATTAGTAAAAATTTAATTGTAACGATTTTTATAATTTTCTGCATCATAATATTATTATAATATTTATATATTTTGTTGTATTTACTTCATTCTAATTGGAGAAAATTAACATGCATAAAGTACATTATTAACTGTGTTATTTCTATAATTTTCATTTAATAGATATGTACAATTTATAAACGTTTTATAATAATTATTAACAACAAAATGTTTTTTAAAAATAATACCAGTGGTGCTTTAAATATTTAATAAAATAAATATAATCTAAAATAAATAAAATAATTGCATTTCAAATAAATTGATGATTGAAAAATAAAATGATAGTTTGTTAATTTAGGGGAGATCTTTGTTTTTCTTAGTTTTATGGAAATTAATACTAATAAAAAATCATTATCTAAGTTTGTTAATATATACACTAGAATAAAAATTTTGAAATAGTATGTAAATCATGAAATACAACAAATATTTATTTTCACATCTTTTTATATGATATTATTTAAAAAAAAAAAAAAAATTAAATTGTAAATATTTTGTTTAAATTTTCTATTAACAATTTTTTTCATAAACTCAAAAAGTTCAAAATTAGAACTAAAGAAAAAATATATTTTTTTTTTATTATTTAAATTATTTAGATATAAAATATATTATAAAATTGTTTTAAAAAAACTGAAAAAAAGGTATCTTTGAATTTCCTTTTTTTAATTCTAGTTATAAAATTTTTTTTCTAAATATTTTAGTATTGAAAATTTTCCGACAATATATTGTTTACAACAATTATTTTTTTGCTATTTATAATTCCTAATATTGAATAAAATGAATATAATAAAATTTTTATCAGCAACTAATTTTTTCATTTTTCTTAGCTTATATTTTGAAAAATCTAGTATTAATTTTTCAAATGATTTAAGTAATAATAATGTCTTAACACTAAAAAGATTTTTAACTCAGTCACCTACTTCAGCAGGTAGTTCTAACGATGGATCTGCTGGAACTGCAAGTGTTCAAAATACGGGTTCTGGTACAGATTCAGGTACAGATTCAGGTACAGATTCTGGTACAGGGGGTGCAGTTAAAGTTACTGGTGCTGTACCTGCAGAAGTTCCTGCTTCTTCAAGTCCTGCGGAACCTAAAAGTGGTGCTAAAGGTTCAACTGAACCAAGAAGGAAAGGTAAACAAAGACGTCAAAATGAATCTGAAGCAACTTCAGGTATATAAAAATAAATTATACAAATAGCAATTTCATATCTAATTGGATAAGTTAATCATTTGAATAAAAAAAAAAAAAAAAGTGAAAAAATTTAAATTAAAAAATAATACTGATAAAATGTGTTTATTATAGAAAGTATTAATTATTAAATTTTCAGATAAAAATATTTATGTTTATACATTTTTTTTTTTTTAGGAGATGATATAACTCTTCAACAAAAAGATACAGAATCAGAAGGTGATTCCCCTGCTAGTGAAGATGATGGAGAAGAAGATGAAGATCTATGCGCAGATAACAATGGAGGTTGTAGTAGTGATCAAATATGTGAATCTCTTGGAGGTGGAAGAGTGAAATGCATATGTACAGAGGGATTTAAATTAGTGAATAATAAATGTGTGAAAATATCGGAATCATCTTCATTAAATTCAATTTTCTCTATTTGTTTATTTTTTTTTCTTACTTTATCTGTAATAAATTAATATTTTCTATATTTAAATTTAGAGTGTATAATTGTACAAACTTTATATTTCTAAGAAATGTTGAAATTTTTTTTTTTAATTTTTTAAAAATATTTATTTTATTGAATTAATTTAATAACGCTAAATGAGTAACTCTAATTATTAAGAAGGGTGCATTGCAATAAATTATTAATTTTAAGAACCTTTTTAAGCCATGAATAAAGAAAGAAAAGAAACAATAGGAATTCTTTATAAATTAAATTTTTTTTTTTTTTTTTTTTTTTCATCTAAAATTTAAAGAAAAATTAGATAAAAGTATATTCTTTAATATATAACAACATATGTTTATTATGTAATTTTTATGTTTAATATAATAGTTGTATAAAGCGTGCAGATCTTTTCGGTTAAGATTTTTTGATAATTTTTCAGTAAAGGGTTTTCTTCAATGAATCTGAGGATTTATTTAATTTCATTCATATAATTAAAAAAAATAATAATAATTATTTTTTTTTTTTTTATTAATGATAATAGAAAAAAAATTAAAATAAGTTTTAATTTATTTATATTTTTAAACTTTTGACATTAAATTTATATAAATTCACTTGTTTCTTTCATTATTTTTTAAAGGAATTAGAAAAAATGATTACAACGCGAATTCTATTGATTATTAATTTTTTTACTTTTCTTAGTTTAAATTTAAGAAACTTTTCTAATAATTCTTTTAGTAATTTAAATCAGGGTAGCAATCTTGTTTGCAATAGATTTTTGAATGAAACAACTACAGGATCAGTTGAAGAAAATAAAGATAGAAGTCCCACCACTGATGTAGCTGAAAAGCAAGCTGATCAAGTTTCCCCTGATGCTAGTGGTGTTAGTCAAGGTGAACAAACTTTAACTGCCACAAATGGGAAGACAACTCAGTTAACTACCCAGAGTGATCCTAAAGGACCTGAGCATACAAGTGATCCTACTGCAAGCTCCCCAAATCCTTCAGCTGATGCAAAACCTCCTAGTAATGAAGGCGATGGAAGTTCTGGCCAAGTAACCAAAGTTGAAACTAGTGTACCTAAGCAAGAAAATCAAAATGGACAAAGTCAAACCATTGCACCTGATAAAGCACCTGAAGTGCCTTCACCCCCCTCAGATTTAAGCAAACAAACTACAGAAGTAAAACCTCCACAAACTGAGGAAGAAAGTGGTGGTGAAGTAAAAACTGGTGATGCAGCTACAAGTGTTAGCAAAACACAAGAAGTAGAAGTTTCAGAGCATGTACAAACGGATGTTGATGGGCATAGTAAAGGAAATTCCTCAACAGGTGATTCAAATAATGAATTAACAAATCCAACTAATAAAGAGAAATTAGATGGTGAAAGTCCAGAACTAGTTGAAACCCCAACTGTGATTGAAGATGATTATGCATCTGTACATTCAGAAGATCGTATTGAAAGAACAATCGAAGAAGACACACCAAGAAATAGTCATGGTAATGAATTACATGATAAATCAATAGAAAATACAGATAAAAATGCATATAATATAGAAATATTTAATTCACATTTTAAAAAAAAAATTTGATTAAATCTTATAAAAGATAAATATGGTTTAATATAGAGAACGTTTAGAAAGAGAATTGAAAGTTTTTAATAAATTTTTATTTTCCTTTATATGTCATTTATATATTTTATTTTTCATAGGTACGGAATACAATAATTTCGATAATTTTAATCGTCTAAGAAAATATAAATTAGGAAAAAATGCATCTCATATGAATGAATTAAAGGAGATGGAAGAAGAAAATGAAAAATCTTGCACACATAACAATGGAGGTTGTGGTGATGATAAAATATGTATAACAACTGCTAATAATAATATAGCATGCATTTGTAAGGAGGGTTATTTAGTAGGAAATCAGTGTGTAATTTCACAATCATCTTCATTAAAACCACTTCTTTCATTAGTTATTTACACTATTATTTCTTTGATAATAATAAATTAGCTTTTTTTTTTTTTTTTTTTTTTAAAAAAATATTAATTTTAAACAATTAATTATTAACAATGCATTAAAAAAAAAAATTAAAAATAAAGACATATAATATATTGATAAATTAGAAAATATCGAATAATTGCATTTTTTTAATTTTTTTTTTTTTTTTCTTTGAATTTTTTTTTTTGTGCACATTAATAATTTGATAATTTTACTAGTTAATTTTTTATTGATCACTGAGCAAAATTATAATAACTATATAATTTTATTCGAATTTATATTTTTATGAATATAATTTTTTTTATTTTTATCGAAATAAAACGTGCACTATTGTGTGATATAATTGTGGTGCATGTATTTAACATATTCTTTAGAATATTATTATGGAAAGTATGTGCTTTTATGATTTTTATTATTCATTTGCACCGATTTTTTTGTAAATTTTTTAAATAAATAATAATGTATTTGGATAAAATGCAGTTTATCAGAACAGAGAAAAAAAAAAAATAAAATAAAATAATGTGAAAAATAATTATTTTAATTTATTTTATTTTTTTCAAAAAATAATATATTTTAAATATAATTTTTCAAAATTTAATAAATTTTTTTATTTTTAATTATATGATAAATTTTTAATATAAACTATTTTAATTTTAAATATTTTATAATTTAAATATTTTGAGGAAATGAAAATATTAAATATTGTATCAATTGTAAATTTTTTTCTATTTTTTAGTCTGAGTTTCAAAAAATATATTAAAGAGAATTCAAATAGTTTTAATAATAATGTTTTAGTGAAAAATAGACATTTAGCTGCTACCCCACAGCAAACTGCCAACACAGCAACTGGAGCTGGGGATGGAACTGCAACTGCATCTGGGGATGCAGGTAGAACAGCTAATGAAGGAACACCTGGTGCTAAAGCAGGAACCAATAATCAAGGTGGCACTCCACCAAATACACAAACAGATTGTAATGATGGAAGAGGTACTGGAGAAGGATGTGATCAAACTCGCAATGAACAAGCAGATGGAGGTAGGGAAAACGAAGGTCTTGAACATATGGAGGAATTACAAGAAGAGCCACCTGTTGAAGGAAGAGCTGATAATGGTGCTTCAATTAATAAGTTTTTCTCATTATTATCTGCTACTGCTATTTTTGTATTAGTTTTACTTGTGTAAAGTTTTTTCTTTTTTTTTTTTTGTTAGTTTTAAATATAAAAATTACATTTATGCATATTTTATATAAGAAACACATTGCAAATAAAAATATTTTACTATGTTAAATATTTTTTTATTTTTTTATATTTTTTAATTTTATGGTAATATGTATTAAAAAGTTCTTTGTCTAAGAAAGGTAAATAATTAAATAAGTGGTATTAGATTTTTGAATTTAGAAACATTGACATATTAGACATTTTTTAATCTTAATTGTTCTATTTTTAACTTGTATTATTTAGAAGTTTTTTGTTTAATTGTAACAAAAAACTATAGAATTAATTTAAAAATAAAAAAATACTTTTTTTTTTTTTTGTTTTTTTTTTTTTTTTTATCTTTTGTAATAATAGCCAATTAAAATAAAATAAATAATAATATTAACATATGAGGATCTTTTACTTTTATTATTTTTTTTTTTTTTTTTTTTTTTTTGTTATGATAAAAATCATCCTTTAATAATTTTATTAATAATTGAAACACCTTTTATAAGACTATGGAAAGGCAAATTTTTAAACAAAATTATTTTTTTCTTTTAGTGATGTGTAATAAAATAAAATAATATACATAATTGTCACGATGTTTATGAAAAATTTAAATATTGATACTATTACTCCCATATATTAATAAAAAAATTATTAATCCTTTAATATGATGTTATATCTGTATATTTTTTTTTAAATATAATTTATCTATATAAAATATAGAAATATGTTCTCATATTTCAAAAACTATAATATTCAAAAAAAATACACACGAAATAATATTTTACGATTTTCAAAATTAAGACTTTTAGATTAATAGGAATATTTTTGCTTTTTGATGATAATAAAGAATCTTTGTTTTCTTTTCATATATATATAGAAGAATATGTTTGGTTTATATAAAATATAATGCCTTTGATAAATCAGAATATTTTTTATAATATTTGATAGAGAAAGATTGCTTTAATATAATTATTAAGATAAAAGATGATAAAGAGGATAATAAACATATAATATGAAATCATTGTAAATAAAACTCATAAATTAAAAAGAAAAAAAAGATTTCTTTTGAGGAATAGAAAAGTTTACACATTAACAAAATAAAGGAAACATAAGAAAAAAGAAGATATTTATATCTTATGTAAAAATGTAAGTCAATATTTACATAATTGTAATCAATAAACATAAAGTAATACTTTATTATAAGATTAAGTTTAAAAATAAGAATCTGATATAATAATTAACATAAAAGAAAGTTTATTTAGTATTTATTTAAAATACATAAATATGTAAATGTTAAAAAAATAATTATTTTGGAAAAAATAGAACCTTTTATATCAAAAAACATAGAGGATTTTTTTTTTTTTTTTTTTTTTTTTTTTTTTTTTTTGAATTATATTCTGTAATAGACTATATATTTAATTGTAAAAATATTGAAAGAAATGTATTTACATTTAATTTTGTCTTCTTGTAAAGTATATTTTTTTTTATATATTTGTATTTTGCATTTTTTCTGTAAGTTCTTTAACATTTTGAGCTAGGTAATTTGCATATCCAATATAACTATGTGGAGTTAAATTAATTAATTCATCAGTAACATTTTTTGGTAAGAAGTTGCATTTAGTTTTTATAAATTCGTGCATAGTTTCTTTGTTTACATGTTTTCCTCTTGTAAAATTTTTTAACTCTTCATAAGCATCAGGAAAATTATACTTTTTCATTATAATTTGTATAGGTTCAGATAAGGTTGACCAGTTTTCATTTAATTCTTTATTTAAAGCTTTTTCTTCTATATCAATTTTTGATAACCCTTTTAGTAATGATTTATATGCAATAAGTGTATAAGAAAATGAAGAACCTATATTTCGTAAAATTGTAGAATCAGATAAATCTCTCTGTAATCTACTAATTGGTAACTTTGTACTAAATAATTTGAATAAAGAATTTGCTAAATGTAAATTACCTTCTGCATTTTCAAAATCAATAGGATTAACTTTATGAGGCATTGTACTACTTCCTATTTCCTTTTGAACAATTTTTAGTTTTAATAAATTATTAGAAATATATAACCACATATCAACACATAGATCAATAAGTGTTGAATTAATACGTGCTAATGCATCACATAATTCGCAAATATAATCATGATCTTGTATTTGAGTACAATATAAACCAAAGTTTAAATTAAAATAATTTTCAATAAAATATTTAATATTAGATATCCAATCAACATTTTTATCAGCAATTTTATGAGAATTAAAGTTCCCAACAGCCCCATTAAACTTCCCATAAATTTTTATTTTTTTTAACACATTTAAATGATTATAAATTCTTGAAAAAAAATTTGCCATTTCTTTTCCAAAGGTAGTTGATGAGGCTGGTTGTCCATGTGTTTTTGACAGTAAGGAAATATCAGCATAATCTACTGCTAATTGATTTAATTTATCTAATATTTTTTTTATATTTGGTATTATTATATCGTTTAAACATAATTTTATACATATACCATATGTTATATTATTTATATCTTCACTTGTGCATAAATAATGAACATACTCCTTTATATTTAATAATTCCTGGTTTTCTGATAATTTAATCTTCTCTTTTATAAAATATTCAACAGCTTTCACATCGTGATTTGTCTCTTCTTCAATTTTTTTCACTCTTAAGATATCATCATCCATTACATTACTTATTTCATTCAATGATTTTAATGCACTTTCGCTTAATTTCTTAAAAAAGAATTCCTTTTCATTTAAAAATAACAACCATTTTATTTCTACAATTATTCTATACTTTATTAAAGCATATTCTGAAAAATATGAGGAAATTTCTTCACAAAGTTTTTTATATCTACCATCAATAGGAGAGATATTTTTTATTTTAATGAGACTTTCCATTGTCAGGAAATAAAAAAAAAAAAAAAAAAAAGAAGAAATTTATTAAATATTTTTTAAATTCTTATAACTCATCTAAAAAAATTATAAATTATAAGATTTATTTTTACTCAACATTGTTTTAAACAGATGTTATAACTTATATATAAATATAAGTTTTATATTTTTTACATATTTCCTATGAAAAGTCAAAAAATAAAATTGAATTTCGAAAAATGATATATTAAATGAAAATTAAAGAAACAAAAAAAAAAAAAAAAAAAAAAAATTGTTAATATTAATAAAGGAATGATTTAAAAAAATGGGAAATTTATTATATAAATAAATTAAATAAACAATACTATTGATAAAAGTTTAATATCACATACAAAGATTTTAAAAAATAAAAATTATTTTTAAATAAATTCATAATATTAGATATTTTTCAAATAAAAAAATAATTTTAATGAAAAAAATTTTTAAAAGAAATGATGAATTATTTAAAAGAATTTTCCAATTACAATTTTTATCATTTAATTGAATTTTCTTTATTCATTTACTCCTTTAATAATCTATGATACATATAGTTAATAGATTCCGTTTTGATAGAAAAGAGTTGGAGAGAATATTTTATCAGTTTTATATGGATAAAAATAAAGTTTTTATTTTTTTTTTTAGAGAACACAATAATAACAAAATATTACAATACCACAGTTTAATAAAAAAAACATACAGGAAAAAATAAATTGAACATGAAATTTTTTTGAAAACAATAAATAATTAAATGTTTAATAAAAAGAATATCGAAAGTGTATTATTTTGTTATTGTTTATTCTTCATTTAAAAATAATAATTTTAAAAAATAATAATTTTAAAGAAAAATAATTTTAAAAATGGCTTTTTTTTGCCCTAATTGTCACAATATTGTTTTAGTTCATATTGAAAATGGCGTTTATTTTTATTGTAAATCATGTAATTATAGATATAAAATAAAAAACAAAATATATAATAAATTTGATTGTCAAAAATATAATAAAACAATTTCCTTAGATGCTGTGGATATGAGTAATAAAAATATGTCTAAAACACAAGGTTAAAAATAAGTAAAAAATAATAAAAAGATAAAATGAAAATAAATAACCATATTTATATATTTTTTTTTTATGTTTTTAGCTGTTTGCCCCAAATGTACAAATGATGAAGCTTATTTCTATAGTTTACAAATAAGATCAGCAGATGAACCCAGCACGATATTTTATATTTGTGTTAAATGTAACTATCATTGGAAGGAATAATATTTCTATATTTTATTATTATATACCTTTTTTTTTTTTGTATTTTTTTTTTTTTTTTTATTTTTTAAATAAAATTAATATGTATATTTAATTTTTATTTGCTTAAACAGATTTTTTTTTATTTTGTTTTTTTTTTTTTTTTTTTGATAATTCATTTGATATTAATACTTATCTTTTTTTCTCATATATAATAATATATTAAAATAGTAATATTTTGCTTTTTTACACATTTTTATGTTACTTTAATTTTATTTTTATATGTATTTTATTATAATTAAATGAATGAATTATATAGAAAAAAAAAAAAAGAAATATTAGTTTTTTAAGCAAAAATGAATTTTTTTATATTTATATTGAATTTACAAAAAAGATGATTTTTTAAATAGTTTTAGATTTTTCATAATATATTTTTAGTATTTTTAATTTTTATCAGCATACTAATTTATCAGTATATTCTATTATATATATATATATATTTTATTATATCAATTATTAAAAATTATTTTATTAAAATTCGATTGTGTTAAAAAATTATATGTTTATTTATTAAAAATGATATTTATTACTATCAATGATACTAAATTTTTATCTTTTTCTTTTAGTTAAAAAAGAATTTGATAATAAATTATACTTACACATATCTAAGTTTATAAACGTTTTTGTATTTTTATATTTTTTGTAAAACTTATAATATGTAATTACATTTATATTTATTTTGAAATTATTTTTTTTAAAAATGCAAAAAAAAAAAAAAAAAAAAGATAATATGAAAAAGAATTAAAGTAATAAAAAGTTACTCCTCATATTTTTCTTTACAGAAATTATTTCTATCAAACTTATATATTCATAATTAATATAAAAAATATGAGCAACTTAAAAATATTCATTTATTGAAAATATTATAATTTTCATATTTTTTGTTTGATATTATGTTCTTTTATTATTTTAATATTTTTTATTTTTAAAATATAAGAATGTATTTTCAAGATAATATAAATTAATAAGATAAATTTAAATGAAAGAAAAGAAAAAAAAAGAAAAAGACAAAAAAAAAAAAAAAAAAATCGATTTCTTTTTTATTTATTTTTTTTATATAGAAACGATTATTCTTCTTTTTATTTACCTTTATACTAAGAAAATGTACATAGTTAATTAAATTAAGACAATAATGAAAAAAAATGTTTTTGCAACCCATTAATTTTTAATTGTATGAAGACGCTCTAAAATAATGATAACAAAACAATTCCTAGAATGAAATTTTTATTTATTAAAAGTATATTAAAGTCAAAAAATTTATTTATATTTATGAAAACAATGGTATCATATATTCAAATGAATATATATAAGTATTACTTTTCTCAAAAATAATTTTAGAGGCCACAAATAGTAAATAATAAAAAAAAATTAAAAGTTTTTTTTCTTCTTTTATATTTAGTAAAATGATTCTGTTTTTTTTTTTAAAATTCATATCTGTAATATATAAATAATTATGTTTCTAGTTTATCATTATATATTAGTTATTTATTATTAATTGTTTAATTTTACAATATAAATTTTTTATTTTTGAATGAATTTATTATATTTGAATTTTCTAATACAAATTATATTATAATGTTTATTTTAATTTTGTTTTATGAAAGTTCTGTATTTATATTACATGTATTGTATTATTCTATTTTACTATATGACAAATATTTATAAAAAAAAAAAAAAAAAAATTAATATAAAATAAAAATATGATAATTGTTAAATTTTTTTTTTTCTTTTTTTTTGTTTAAAAATATTAAATGAAAATCTTCTTATTCTATATTTTATGTTACTAATTTTTGTTCACTTTTTTTAAAATTTATAAATGCATACGTATATGTATATATACGTATGTCCTATTATGATGTTTTTCTGTTATATTTATTTTGCTTATTCTTTTTTAAAATGTATAATTTTGTAATTTTAAATTTTATTATTATATAATATATTTTTTTTAAAATTTAAAGAAGTAAATCATTCTTATCTTTAATGACCTTTTTTTTTTTTTTTTTTTTTTTTTTGTTTTATATATATAAGTATTTCATGATAATTTCCCTTATAAAACTTGATAAAATAAAAAAATATAAAATTTCTTCAAATTTGTAGCTTCAAATTATTGTGGACATAAAAAGTATAAAATTTATGAAAACATGCTAGGTGAAACAAAGAAATAATAGGAATATGGTTAAGTAGCGAGATAAAATATTTATCAATTTTTATTTACTTTTTATGAGGTTTTAAAATTTTACAGATATAAAAATTAATAAAAATAAAACTAAAAATTATTTATATGTTTCTTTTATATAAAAATTCCTTAAAATTTTTTTTTTATTAAATTATTTTAACTTTTCAGTTAAAAATTTTTATATTATGTTACTTTTATAAATTTAATTATAATTGTATTTTGTCATCATAATAAATGTATGTGGTTAATCATATCATAAGTATATTTTATTTCTTAAAATTATTTATATTATCATAATGATAAAAATATATAATGAATTCAAATGCTAAAGTAAACTTTTCAAATTTTATTAAATAATTTTATTTTTTATATTTTTATGAAAATATTAAATAATTATAAGAAAAATTAATTTTACATATATATATATATATATATTTATACAAATAAAATGAATCAAGGTATATATACTAATAAGCATAAAATATTCATTTAAAGAATTTTTTCTTTAATGAATTTTATTATAAAAAAAAATAAGAAGAAAAAAAAAGAATATTAAAATAATATTGGAAATAATAATTTTTTTTTTATATTAAATTAATTAATAATTATTAGTTATATACACAAAATAATGTTTTAAAAATATTCATTAGATAAAAATTTTATATAAATGGAAAATATATAGTAACTTCGTCCTATGTAAGATTCAGAAGTTTTTATATTTTTATAGGATTTATTTTTAAGAAATGTATAATGTTAAAACAAATAAATGTATGTATTTATTAATTTCTTATTCTTTTTTTTTTTTTTTTTTTTTTTTTTTTTTTTTTTTTTTTATCTTCACTTCTTTTTTATTCATTTCCTTTTATATATATATATATAACACGAAATTAATGAATTTTATAAATTAAAAAATTTTATTTTATATTTTTTATAATGAATTATGATTATTTATCATATGGAAATTGGATGAAAAAGTAAATAATTATATAAATGTATATTAAAAAAAGATAAAAATGACTGAAGAAAGTAAAATGAATGTGAAATTGAAAATAGATAAAGAAATTCCTAAAAGTTATAAAAAAGTAAAAGATTTTGATGACAATGAATATAATAAATTTTTAATAAATATTATGGAAATCAAACAAAATGATGATATAAAGGAAAATAAAGATTTTTGTAAAGGAAAATATGATATAATCACTACAGATTCTATATCTACAACGACGGATGAAATTTCAAATATTTACCATATTGAAAATAAGGGTGATGAAAAAGAAAGATTTGTAATACATGAAGAAAAGAATTATTCTAATACTACTAATATTTTAGAAGAAAATACAAATAAAATTGAGGAGAATAATAATAATCAAAATAGTGATTATGTTTCAATTAATAATATAACTCATAAATATAATATAAAAGAGTTAAACATTTATCAAGATAATAATAACAGTTTCTTATATAATAATTCTAACAATAATATTCAAAATTTCATTAATCAAGAAAATGAAATTAATAAGAATATAAATGATATTGATATTGCATTTTGTGTAAATAAAAAATTAAATAATGTAAATTTAAAAAATGAATACAACACAAATTATTATATTAAAAATAATATAGATGATAAAATTAAAAAATATGAAAATGCAATGGAATTAACATATAAAAATGAAAATTTCGTAAATCATAATTTATATTCAAATAATATTAATAATAAATATATTTCCAATAATATTAATTATATAAATAAAAACAGTAATATTATAAAACATAATTTAAATAACAATAATCTAAATAATTTAAATAAAAGTTATAATACTAATGTAAATATTAAAAATGACGTTATACATAATAACAAAATTAATGATAAAAGTTCAAATTTAATGAATTATTTTAATGAAAATAATAAAAGCATTAATGATATAATTAATTTGAAAAACATTAGAAATATTGATAACTTTTCACATTTTACATATAATGATAATAATAGAATTAGAAGAGTAAATAATAAAAGTGAAACAATGAATAATATAAATACAATTAAAAGTATAAGAAGTGTAAACAATTTAAATAATATAAGTAATATGAATGATTTAACTGTTGTAAATAATATGAATAATTTCAATTGTGAAAATAATAATATGTATTTTCTAAATATGAAATTCAATAAAAATACAGAAAATGATAAAATAAGAAGTAACACAAATATATCAAAAGATATTTTAGAAAAATCGCATAATAATTTAAAAAACTCACAAATTAAACAAGATAAAATAAATCATATTAATAAAAATGAGGATAAATTAAAATTTTTGAAAAATAATTCTGTAGCTAAAAAAAATGTTGACATAAAAGATTCAATGAATTGTGTTATTCAAATGAATAATGTTAATGATGCAAACAAAAATAATTATGAATTAAAAAATACAAGTATATTAAGTAACAACTTAGTTGATAAATTAAAAAACATAGATGTTGACCATAAAAATAATAAAAATCAATTCATAACTAAAAAAGAAATGATATTTATTAAAGATAATAAGAATAATAATGAATTATATTCAAGTAGTATAAATTTAAAAGACGCAAATAATAACAAAAATGCTATAAAAAAAATATCAAAGAGAAAAAAAGATTTGAATAATAATTCATACAAAAAATTAAACGATGAAAATTATAAAATAATAAAAAGTTTAATACAGAAGAAAAATATTATTAATAATAAATATATTAATGCAATACCTAAATATGACCTTAAGGATTTTTCTCAAAATAATAAATGTATAGAAAAGGAATATAAAGAATTATTACATTTAGAACAAAATGCAGAAGTTCAAAAAGTCATAAATAATAAAAAAAAAATAATTTTAACAAAATTTGAACTAAAGATATTTTTATTAAACACAATTAAAGCTATAGGAATTGTTTTGAAAAACTGGAAATTAAAGAAATTTGGTTTATACTTTTGGTTTCATATAAAATGTATAGAAAATGAACTTGATTTAAGTTTCTACATTAATATTTTTAATTTCTTATTTGAAATAATAACAGGAAGAAGCATTTATTGCCAATCAAACGATATAAATAACATAGTAAAATTATTTAAAGAATTTATTATTTATGATTGTAAAAATATTTTTAAGAAAAGTGTAAAAATATTAAATAAATATGCAAAGAAAAATTCCAGTAATTTTTCAATTTTTGAAAATAATGAAGATATAATAAAATTAAACAAATCTTTATTATTAAATGAAGATGAATTAAATACGAATAATAAGAAAAATAATTTTTATGATTATTTATTTAATACAATGAAAGAAACAAATGATTTCTTTGAAAAAAACGGTCAAGAAGATATGTATTTTTACAATATTTTTGCAAATTTCAATGAATTAAATTATAATGAAATATTCAATTTTTATATATTTTATAACAATGAATTAAATAAATCTAAAAAACTACTTAATGATAATGTATAGATTATAATTCATATAATCTTATCAACAATTAAAATAATACATAATTTATTTAAATAATTAAAATATTAATTTTTAGTAATAATTATTAACCTTTTTAATTATATATATATTTTTAGTTGATCTTTTATATATTTTAAAAAAAAAAAAATAAATAAATAAATAAATAAAAATATAAAATTATTAAAAAAGAATTATTTAAAGTGTAAAAATATTAAAGTGTTGTTTGAATAACATTTATATTATTAAATTTTTATTGTGATTAACTTTTTTTGTTTTAAAAATTCATATCTATATAATATTCTTTTATAAAGAACAATTTAAAATATATTTTATGAAGTCATATATATTTGTACCTTTTATATATTTATTATATTAGATGTTAATTTTCCTGCTTTTATATTTACACTTTTTAACTTTTTATTATTTGAGAATAATATATAATAATATAAACACAATTATAATATAAAATGAAAATATATTATTACTTATTTTAAAATAATATAAATTAAATTTAGATAAATGAATTATAAAAAAAAAAAAATATAAAAATATATATTGTAATTAAAGGTTAAGTTTTAATAATAAAACTGTTTCTTAGTAGATTTTAGTTTTTATATATATTTATAAAATAAAAGATAGCTTTATGAATATATTACGCTAAAAATAATCAATAAAAAAATAAATTTTTTTTTTTTTTTTTTTTTTATTATTATCTGAAATTTTACTTAAGGAATGTTTTTCTTCATTTGATATTCCAATACAACTCATTCAGTTTGAGGGTAATAAGTGAGATTTTATTCCTATATTGTATTTAAATAAAAAAAAAAAAAATAATAAATAAATAAAGTAATAAAGACATTAAATTCATATAGTAATAATAATGATAATTTCGATAAAATCAACAACATGATTTATAGTTAGGTAGGCACATTAAAATGATAATACTTTTTTTTATTTTTAAATTTTATAAAAAAATCTTTAAAACGAGTTGAGAATAAAAAATATATAAAGTATACCAGAATTTTGTTAGCAAAAAAAAAAATATATCACTTTGAATTGTAATGGAATGTTTCGAGAAAATGTTAATAAACCCTTTACATTTTTTTAAATTGTTTTGATATTTTTATATATTTGTTATAATAAGCAAAACATTTTCGAACTCAAAAAAATTTATATTATGCTTTTATTTAATAATTTTATCATAATTCCTCAAAATTTTCTCATATATATTTCTACTTATATTTACTTATATTACAATTAAATAAAGTCATACTTTTAATAATATTAGTTTTGTTATTCTTTACTTTTTTATTCTTTAATAAAATTTTCATCTACATATTCATTAACATTGCTTATCATACAATTTGCATTTTTATTATTATTCACATTCTGTTTATATATTTATTAATATCTATATTCTTATTAGTGTCTATATAATAGTTCATATTTTAAATTTTTTATTATTTTAAAAATAGTGTAGACATTCTAATTAACAGAACTTTTTAATTTAACATTTATTTTTACTTTGTAAAATAATATTAAGATTTAAAAAATATACTATTTTATGAAAAATAGAAATATATATATAATAAATACATATTTTTTAAATATAGTCATTCTTAGTTAAATATTAACTTTTTTTTTATAAATAGTTTAAAAATATAGATAAAATATTGTGCATGAACAAAAAATAATAAACTTAAAATAATGTGTATAATATATCTGAATATTTTAGAAGTTATTAATATAAAAGAACGTAAATATCTTTTATTAGATATATTTTTTTTTTTTACTTTTTAGAAATATTCAAAAAAAATTTTAAATCTTCCACATAAATATTGAAATTTATTCTATTTGTTATTAGGGAATCATAACCTTCATTTTTTGCTTGTATTTTTTATTAAACTAGTTAAATAATAATTAAAAAGAAAAAAGAATAAAAGAATATTTTTTTTAATATAATAATGAAAATCTATGTAAAATGTATAAAACCAAATAAAATTAGAGTTTATTTATTTTCATTTTTCTCACCTCTATTTTTTTTTTTAAAAAGATAAATTAGGAATATATTTAAATAATTTTAAATAATAATTTATAGAAATATTTTCATAAATAATAGCTGGGTTTCTATAATATTCAATTGCCATAACAATTTTTTTTTTTCTAAATTCAACTACTTTAGAAAGGATAAAATAAATATAAATTACATTAGAGGTATATATTTTAAATTATTTGGACAGTTGAGATTTTTTATACTGTAAATATATGAATTTTTAAAACATTATAAAAAAAAAAAATAAGAAACCTACACTATTAATTATACTTTTTAAGTTATTATTATGTAGATGTTTTTTTCTTTTTGATAAACTTCATCATTTTTCATTAATATAAAATAGGACTAATGCTTTTCTTAAATTTTTAAAATAAAAAAATATATTCTAGGATTTATTGTGAACATAAAATTATTTTCTTACCTATATTTATTTAGACAATTAATTTATATGTAATTATATTATTGCAGAAATTTTAATTATACATCTGCTAATATATATATATATTAAACCATTTTAAGAGATAACAAAAAAAAGAATGTTGATAAATTATTTTAAATAAATGTAATTCATTCTAATTTTTTGATTTAAAAGAAATATATATATATATATAAATATATATTTATAATTATTTTAAAAATATAAATGGAAAAATATACAAAAACTTTTCAAAAAAAAAATGATTTTTAAGTATAACAAAAATATAAACAGTAAAAATTATCATATAAATTAATATATAAAATAAATGAGAATTGTAAAAAAAAAAACATAATAATAATAAAATAAAGTATAACAAAGAGAGTATAAAGATAAATTGAAAAGATTAAAAAAGGTGAAACTTATAAAAAAAAAAAAAAAAAAAAAAAAAAAAAAAAAAAANAAAAAAAAAAAAAAAAAAAGAAAAAAAAAAAAAAGACAAAAACATAAAGCAAAATTAAAAAAGTAATTAGATAATGAATAAAAAATAATCATAATAGTAATTATAAAAAGCTTCAAATTAAAAATGATATTTGAGTATAAAAGTGTAAATAATAAAAAAAAAAAAAAAAAAAATTATTGTAATATAAATGATAATAATAATATTTTAATTTTAAACATATTAATCGTTAATTTTACATTTATTCCCAAATTTTATTTTAATTTTTTTATACGTATGGAATATGTTCTATAAATTATTCTATAATCTTTTATTTATTTATTTTTTTTTTTTTTTATTATTTTAAACTAATATATATTTTTATTAATTTTTTTTTTTTTTTTTTTTTTTTTTTTTTCATTATATACATTTATTTAATAATATTTTAAATTTGTTATGTTAATTCATTTTTTATTTGTATATTTGAATAATCTTCTGAATTTATTTTTCCAATTTTTCAGCAACTGTTTCTTCATCCTCATCATCATATTTATATTCATTCTCAATTATCTTATTCATTTTTCTATATTCTTTACCATATGTGAAATGTAATAAACTGTAAAATACAAAAGACAATATCCATGGTATTAAAGTTAAGTATAATAAAGTTTTTGAAAGAGCTTCAGCATTATTCTTTCTTAAATCTTCAGACATATCAGAAATTAGTAAATTGTTATTTTGATAATTAAATACATTTTCAGCTAAATAACCAAATAAGGGAGCACCAATTAAAGATGATCCAACTCCTTCAATAGCAATAGTTAATGAAAAAACAGTTCCTCTATAATCTGGTCTAATGATATCAGATACAATAGGTCTATTAACGGCTACTCCAGCGATAGAAGACATTCCAAGACAGAAACAAGATAAAGCAAATAATTCAAAACTTTCTTGTCTTTTTGGTATTACAATATATGTTAATATAACTAATGGTACTCTACCAAACATTGCTAATTGTCCAAGAAATGGTCTTCCATGATCATTAGATATATCATGCATTACATCCCCAAAAAGTCCACCAATTACTCCTCCTAATGCAGCTCCAACTAATAAGAAACCTGTTATCACAGCTGCTTGTAAATCGGTTAATCCACAGTATTGAAAAAACATAGTATTAAAACTTAATGCTAACCATGGTATAGTGCCTGTAAAACCTTCTAAAAGTATAATAATTATACTTTTTTTCGATAAACTATCCTTCAGTATATCAACAATATTTTTATACAATATATAAGAATGACTATTGTTATTGATTATTCTTATACCACCTGTTCCTGCATCTATATCATCATTTATATATTCCACTTTTTCCTTTTTTCTAATCTGCCTAGGTGCGTCATCAACAAATAGTGCTACCGTTATACTTAAAAGAATACTTAATATTCCTACAACGATAAAACATAACCTCCAACCTCTGATTCCTCCAAAATATTTTAATGCTACTGTTGTTGTTATAACTCCACCAATTAATCTACCTGTACTAGATGATAATTGAACTAGACCAAATGATAACCCTAAAGATTCATTTTTTGCTGCATCTGCTAAAATACTTTGAGATATAGGACCAATACTTCCCAATGCTAAACCATTTATTGCTCTAAAAAATAGTATATGAGCAAAATCGTTTATATTTGCTAGAAGTATTGTTGCTATTCCCCATAAAGCTGTACCAAATACTAACATCCATTTTCTTGAGTATTTATCCGATAAAAATCCCCAAATAGGACTAAATAAACTTAGCATTAATGTTTGAACTAATGTAATATATCCCAATAATGAAGGATGCAAATCTAAATCTGCTTCTAAAGCTCTGAAACTTGCAGGTAATAATTGATCATCACATCCATCTAAACCTGCAGCTATATTTACTACAGCTAAAGATTTGTGAAATGCCAAATCATGTTTTATATCTCTTTTTAGACTGGAACTTCTTTTTTTTAAGCCATCTTTTAAAGCTTTATCATATATTCCTGAATCAACAAGTGTTTCCGTTTCTTCACATAATATATTATTAGTTTCTTCATTTTCTTTTTCCTTAATACATGGATCTATATTCATTATATATATATATATATATAATTTATATTGTCAAAGTTTTAACGATTATAATTTTTATATTTTGTAAAATATAGAAAGACAATTGATAAACCAAAAAAAAAAAGAAAGAAAAAAAAAAAAAAAATAAATAAATAAAATGAAATAAATATAGAAAAAAAATTTAAATCTTCTTAATTTTCTATCTGTTTACTTGCTCATATTTCTTAAATATTAAATACACATTCACTAATGTTGTAATTTTCATTTCATTAAAATGTTTTTTATGAATAAAATTATAGGAAGTTTCATTAAACTTCATTTAAAATTATAACATAAAAAAAAAAAATTAAACAAACATAAAAAAAACAAAAAAAAAAAAAAAAAAAACAAATATAAAAGACGGGAGATAATGAAATTTACTGTGTAATGTTATTACTATGAAAAAATGAAGGCCGATATTTAAAAGATATATAAATCTTAGGAATTTAATTATTAAAAATAACTATATATATAAAAAGAAAAAAATTTACATAAAAGAAACTTATAATTTCATAAAAACTTTAAAACAAAAAAAAAAAAAAAAAAAAAAAAAAGAAAAAAGAAATTTATAAATTTTAAACAAACGAAAATGAGATAGGAAATTTATATAAATAAAATATTATACGAAAATGTTGTAGATGGTGCTTATGCATTTATAATTATATATATACGTATTAATATGAATAATTTAATTTAAAATCATTAAAAAAATTTAAGAGCTTATTAAAAAAAAAAAAAAAAAGAAAAATGCAAAAAGAAAAAAATATGCACAAAATACTAATGCAACTGAAAGTCATAAAATCAAAGGAAATAAAAAAACCTCATTTACAAATGTTATAATTATCTAAGTAATATTTCATTAAATATATGTTTTCCAGAACTTCCAAAATAATTTAATTCCAAAAGTTCAGTGAATTGAGTTTTTTTATAAACTCCAATTATTTTCATTTAAAAATAACAAAAAGTAATAATTTAACTTTTTTACAACGCTTTTTTTAAGGAATAAAAATCTTTTAATAATTTTTAGTAAAACATGCATAAAGTTTGAATGATTAATAATCTTCAAAAGTAAAAACTTAATTTAATGGATAATTACAATTTTAATTAAATATAATATATAAATATATATAAAGTCAACACACAGCTAAGGATTTTTTTTTTAATTCTTATCTATTTTTCTTTTCGAAAAAAAATGCACAGTATATTAGAAAAAAAAGAAGAAAAAAAATAATATAAATATAAATTTACTTCTTTATTTTGTATTTTATGTATATAATATATCATCAATTAAATTACAATATTATTTTAAAGTATATATATATATATATATTTATTTATTTATTTATTTATTTATGTTTTTAAGGAAAATTTTTTGTTCATAAACATTCAGCTAGCCAAAATGAAATACTGGAAGAGAAAAAAATTTAAGTGTTTTTTTTAAACTTTATAAATATATATAAATAGGTTCACTTTTAAAATATTTTATGATAGTATTTTTAAATAATAAAATTATTTAGGTATTTTATTTTAGTTATTTTTTTTTTTTTTTTTTTCTTAAATATGTTTTGTTAATAATCATAGTTATTTACAAATAAGATATTCTTAAGAGTTGAACATAATGATTTTTAAAAATAATAATGACAAAAAATGATAGAAATTTTAAATTGGTTTTTAAAAATTATGTAGTATTCTTAATTAATAAATATATTTTTTTTTATTTAGTGAGAATATACAATAAAGATGCAAAAAAAAAAAAGAAAAAAATTTGTAAATTACTTTTCTATATTTTTTAAAATATTCGTTGAAAACATTTTTATTTTATTCATAATATTTAAATATCCATTTATTCTGCTCATTGTTAAAAATTCAGAAATACCTGTTAAAGTAATAAAGTTTGGGTTTACTTTTAAGATTTCTTCAGGTGAGTATCCACTTAAGCCATCAATTAAAATATAAACAATTCCTTTTGTTAGTAATCCGTCTATAATTAAGTATATATTTTAATATAAAATATTCAGAATATTATAACACAGTAAAAGAAGAAACAAAAATAATATTAATTATAAATTTTTATTTATATGTGTAAGCAAACTTTTTCATTTATATTATAGAATTATTTATTTATATATATAAAACTAATATATAATAAAGAAAAATAAATTATATTTTACCTGAATCTCCTAACCATACTATTGATTTCTTATTTTCATTTAATTCTACATTTGGATATATATAAACAGTTGATTGACACCCCTAATAAATATATATATATTGTATTCAAATAATATTAATAATAAAAAAAAAAAAAAAAAAAAAAAAAGTTTTTTATTTTACACCTTACCAAGACTTGATTCTGTCTAGTTTTAAATTCACATGGCATTGGTGAACATTTCTTACCTAATAATATTACTTGTTGACTTCTAAAAAAAGTTTTTTTTATAATATATAAAAATGCAAGGATATTTTACTTTATAATTAAAAAACATAAAACAAATATAATTGTGTATACATGTAAAGTAGATATTTTACGTTTTAGGTTGATGTAAGTCTAACTATATATATATATATATATATATATATATTTTAATTTTAGATTTTAATGAAATGTTTTGTTAGATTAAAATCATTGACGTAGAATATAATATAAATATACATAAAAAATATTTTTAGATAATTTTTTTTGTTTTAAAAATAAAAATAAGTTTTTTTTTTAATACAAATATGAAAAAAGTAAAACTATATTACATTTATACAAAAATAAATTCTTTTTCTTAATATATATTATATTAGAATACTAACTTATAATAAGGATTATTAGGCATTGATTGGAAAAACTGAACGGTTTTTTTTAATTTTGGTGTTAAATTGTAATGTTCAATATTTAAATTTTCATGATTTTTATTTCCTGATAGTTGATTAAAAATATCATTTAAATTATTTTTTCTTTTTTTATTTCTTAATTCATAATTTTTTATATATAATATAAAGTTTGATTTAATTTTGTGTAATTTTTTTTCCTTCAATAAAATTAATCTTTTTATTTTAAAATTTGTTTTTTTGTTATTTTTTCTTTTATTCATAGAATTAATTAAAATGGAAAAGTAACAAATAATATGAATAAAAATGAAGAAAATTCTTTTGAATTTCTTTTTATTCATTTTTTTTTAAACAAGCTAAATTTATATAATCTATAAAAAGTGTTCATTTTCCTGTTGGAACAAATTAAAACAAATATATAAGTATTAACAAACAAAAAAATTTACTTCAATTAATAAAATATATTAAAAAAACATATTCATTAAATCATGGTTATAAAAAAAAATGTGAAAATTAAAATACATAAAAATTCATATTTTAAGAAGGTATTGAGAATGCATATGAAATATATTTATAAATATATATATTTATAATTATCTATTTGTTAGTAGATGACATTCTTCTTTATAACTATTTATAATACGATAAATTCTGTAAAAATTATTTTAAAAAATTAAATAAATAAAAATATATATAATTAAAAAATCCAAAAAACATAGATATTAATAATAAAGTAGTTAAACTGTTATATTAATGTGTATATAAAAATTTATATCAACCTATTTTTTAATTTTTTAAAATTTATCATAATTTTTTTTTTTTTTTTTTTTATAATAAAGTATTAATTTAATAAGAAAAAAAAAAAAAAAATTACACAAAATATTTACTTAAACATATAAAGAGTTTTAAATATAATAAAGTTAAAACTTTTATTTTTTCGTTTTAACAAACTTAAATAAATATACATTCTCTTTATATATACTTTTTTTTTATTATATTTCAAAAAAATGAAGAAAGTAGTATAGGACATTTAACTTTTTTTTTATTTGATAATTCACAAATTGTATTTAAGATTTTAAGAAATTATGAGAAATGTTATGTTTTTATAAATTATTTTGTTTCATATTTTTAAAAGCTTTAATTGAAATACTGTTAATTTATTTTTTTTTTTTTATAATTATTTATGATATTATAGTAAGAGAAAAAAAACATGATATATTCATTAATAATTAAAAATTTATAATATATATATATATATATAGAAGTATATAGATAAGAGATATGAAAGTTTATTAATAAGATATTTATAATAGACAGAAAAAAGAAAATGATGTGGCTTTTAAAAAGTGTATTATTTGAAAAATAAAATATAAATTTATTTAAAAAAAAATAATAAGAATGATATATTTAAAAATAATAATTATAAAAAAAAAAAAAAAAAAAAAATATGAAAGATGGGAGTAAAAGGATTATGGTCAATAGTATCTCCAGCTGGAATTCGTGTAAATCCAGAAATTTTTACAGGAAAACGAATAGCAATAGATGTAAGTATATGGTTATATGAATTGACATATGCTAATAATTTAAAAGTTCTTAAGAATAATTCTTTTGATAATTTGAGTATTTTTAATGATTTATGGATAGATTTTTCACAAAATATGAATAACGAAATAAAAACTGATAATTTAAAAAAAGCTCATTTGTATTTCTTTTTTTTAAGAATATGTAAATTACTTTATTATAACATTAGACCTATTTTTATTTTTGATGGAAATCCTCCAGAATTAAAAAAAAAAACTATATTTCAAAGAAACCTAAAAAAGAGAAATTACGAGGAGAAATTTAGAAAAACAGCAGAAAAACTTATTTATAATTATTATCAAAGAACCCTATTAAAATCTTTAAAAAATAAAAAAAATATTTCCAATAAGAAAAAAGACAATGAAAAAAGAGTTTTATTACATAAAAAAGAAGTTTCTAATAGATTAAAAAATAATTCATTAGACTCTTGTGGCATAATTGATAATGATAATTCTCTAAGTAATATAGTAGAAAAAGTTGGAAATCTAACCATAAGTATGAAGGATGTTTTAAATTTTTGTAATGATGATTTAGATAAAATTGAAAATAAAGTGCTTATGATAACAAATTCAAATACTATTAGTGATGAAAATAATAAAAATGAGGGATTAGATGAGAATGAATTAATAAATAATGATAAAAAGGAAAAATATATTACCAATAATAAATGTGAGGATATAAGCAAAGAATATATAATAAATGATGAAGATGATAATGAAAGCGATTCAATAGGTGATGATGAAGAAAAATCTACAATTAAAAAAAATGATATAAATAATCTTGATAATAAAATAAATGAAGAAATAGTAAGAAAAAAGCATATTGCAAAAAAAAAATACTATGAAAACATTCCTCAAAATTTTAAAGGTTTTTTATCTATGAGAAGACCTGTAGATATTATTGATATAAGTAATTATAATACAGACATTTTAGAATATACACAAAAATACCAACATATAGGAGAAAAATACAACAATGTGTATAAAGAAGATGCTTTATTAAAAGATGATTTTAATTCATCAAATAATTACAACTTAGTATCAAAAAATGAAAAAAAAAATAATTCGGAAGATATAGAATATATACCATCATCTAATGATGATTTTTTTTTATTAGAAGATAAGAAGGATAGTACATCTAAAAAAAATGATAAGGAAAATGAAAGTAACACCTTATATGGAATGGAAGTAAATAGAAAAGATATAAATATTTTAGAATTACCATCTAATATTACAAGCTCTAATATTTTTTTAGATGGGAAAGATGAATATAAAGTTTATTATATAAATAATGAAGAAATTAAAATTCCTTTATTTAAAGAAATAAATAAAGATGTTTTTGAAAAGTTACCAATTAAATTACAGTATCAAATTTTGCAAGATATAAAAGAAGAGTGGTATGCTGATAACAGAATAAAAGCAATAAAATCAAAAGATGATATGGATGTTTTTTCACAGGTTCAGTTAGAAACATATGTAAGGATGATTAAAACTGACTTTGAAATTGAAAAATTAAAAATTAAAATGGCAGAAAATATACAAAATGTAGAAGGAGAATTAATTATAAACAAAGAGTTATCAAAAAATTTGGAAAATTTAAATGTTAGAGATTATAATGATATTAAAAAAAAAAAAAAAAAAAAAAAAAAATATTTAAATGAAATATTAAATAACTGTTATCTTAATAATAAAAACAATCTTTATGATTTAATGATTAATAATGAAGAAGAAGATGAGGAAAAAGTAAAAGAAAAAAGTAATAACATAAAAGAATATAATTATAATGATAAAGACACATATGAAAATGTAGAAATAAAAAACAACAAAATGGATAAAGATGTTAATAGATTTGAAGAAGAAAAAAAAAAGTTCATAAAGATGGAGGATGATTTTAAAAAGGATTTATTAATGGATGATAAACAAATTTTTGGTGATGATTTTTTTGATTTAGATGATGATAATACAAATAGAGATATAAGTAATATGAAATGCATAGATAAATTAAACGAAAATCATAAGGAACAAATTGAATGTATTTATATTGAATCAAGTAATGAGTATGAATTGAATAAAAAATATAATGCTTCTCATTGGGAAAAAGATGATTTAAAAAAAATTGTAAATAAAAATACAAAATCTAAAATAAATTATGAAAATGGTAAAATAAAAAGTAAATTGCAAAAGATAGAACAAAAGGAAAATGAAAAAAGTAATTTTTCTTCTAGTGATGATTTTGAAAATTGTAGTGTAGAGGAAAAAAAAGATATTAATGAGTTAGTACATATTAAAAAAGATATGGAAACACATTCAAATAACAATATTGAACTATTCAAAGAATACAACAAAAAGGGTTATAATAATCTAAAAATTAATGACACAAATGAATTAATAAAGAACATTAATACTGATTATTATACTAATAATAAAACATATATTAAAACCAATGAATTAGAAGAAAAATTTACTATGGAAAACGAAAATCATATTAATATGAAAAATATAAAAACAAATGATACTTTTAATTATCAACAAAGAATAAAAGAGGATATTAATTTCATAACAAAAGAAAATGAATTTAAAATAATTAATCCAAAAGAATTGAACAAAGACATACAAGTAAAAGAATCTTTAAATAATGAAATTTTATATGATAATATAATTTATATAGAAAAAAATAAAAATATTGAGGGAAGTATAGATAATTGTTTTTCGTCCTATGAATATAAAAATACATTGAATTATGAAGATGAAAATATTCTGATTAATAAAGATAAAAATATATTGATTAATGAAGATGAAAATATATTGATTAATGAAGATAAAAATATATTGATTAATGAAGATAAAAATATACTAATTAATGAAGATAAAAATATATTGATTAATGAAGATGAAAATATATTGATTAATGAAGATAAAAATATATTGATTAATGAAGATAAAAATATACTAATTAATGAAGATAAAAATATATTGATTAATGAAGATAAAAATATACTAATTAATGAAGATAAAAATATATTGATTAATGAAGATGAAAATATATTGATTAATAAAGATGAGAACACACTGAATTATGAAGATGAAAATATATTGATTAATAAAGATGAGAACACACTGAATTATGAAGATAAAAATATATTGATTAATGAAGATGAAAATATATTGATTAATGAAGATAAAAATATATTGATTAATGAAGATAAAAACATACTGAATAATAAAGATAAAAATATACTAATTGATGAATATAAGAATACATTGCATGATGAAGATAAAAATATACTAATTGATGAATATAAGAATACATTGCATGATGAAGATAAAAATATATTGATTAATGAAAATGAAAATATAATGAAAGATATGGATAAAAATACACTGATTAACGAAAATGAAAATATAATGAACAAGGAAGATAAGAATATATCGAAGAGTGAAGATAAAAACAATATTGATGAAATTAAAAAAAAGGGTAAAATAAATAAAATTATGAGTAAGCAACAAATAAATAATATATTATTAAATAAATGTGACTTAAATAAAATTGAAAAGGAAAATTTTTTTGAACAATTGCTAAATAACAAAGAGATAATGGATAAATTTAGTGTGCAAGTAGAAGAGAAGGAAAAACTGAAAGAAGATAAAAATGATGAGTATGCTTATTATGAATATTTAGAAGATAATAAAATTATTGATTCTTATATAAATAAAACGAATAAAGAAAATGAAGAATTAATAAAGGAATTTAAAAGGTTAAAAAAAAATAACATAGAAATAAATGATGAAATGAATGATGATGTAAAAATTCTTCTAGATTTTTTTGGTATTCCTTATATTCAATCTCCGTGTGAGGCAGAAGCTCAATGTTCATATTTAAATAATAAAAATTATTGTGATGCAATTATAAGTGATGATTCAGACGTTTTAGTATTTAATGGAAAAACAGTAATTAAAAATTTTTTTAATAAAAAAAAAACGGTCGAAGTGTATGAAAAGAAAATAATAGAAGATAAATTGGGTTTATATCAGGAAGAATTAATTAACATATCTTTATTATGTGGTTGTGATTATACAACTGGAGTTCATGGAATAGGTATTGTTAACGCTTTAGAAATAATTAAGGCTTTTCCTACTTTTGAAGATTTAAAAAAGTTAAAAGATATTGTATCTAACCCATTTAGAGAAATAAATGAAGATGAATATAGTGAAGAAATAAAAACTTTTCTAAACACACACAAAAATTATAAATTAAATTGGATATTTCCAAATAATTTTCCAGATAGAGAAGTATATAAATGCTTTAAGTATCCAAAAGTTTGTACAGATATTAAAAAATTTCAGTGGAATTTTCCTAATATAAATAACATTTGTATTTTTTTAAATAAAACAACTAATATTCCTAAAGAAAAAATTTTTAACGTTTTAAACCCAATTTTGCAAAAATACGATATAAAAATTAGAAGCTATCAATTAAAGATAGAAGATTTTTTTCCCATTATTGAAAGAAAGAGAAAAAATATAAATGATTTAATTGATACAGTTAGAGAAAATAAAAAAAATAAAAAGAAATTTAATGAAAATATGGAATTAGATAAGAATGTATCAACTTTGATTGATATTAATCCAGCAGGAATAATTAAATCAAAGAGAATGACAACAGCATTAGATTATTTAAAAAGAAGAAAAAGTAAAAAAAAAAAATAGAAGTAAATAAAAATATAAATAATATGAAAAGACATAGTTTTCTATTTTCTATTTTTTTTTATATTTATTTATATGTTGGTTTTGTGTATTTATCTATTACTAATATTATATTTTTTTATTTTACTTTATTTTAATTTTTATTTATATTTTAACACATTTTTTAATTATAGTTGATTTTTTTTTTTTTTTTTTTTTTTTTTCTTTTAAATAAAGTTGTAAAAAAGGACTTATAAAAATTTGTATTTATAAATTCTTTTAAAATCAATTTACCTACATTTATTTGTTATATATACA